TCGTGCCCAAAGAAACCCCAGACTACCCAAAGGGTGTCAGCCAGCACTTTTAAAGGCAAACTTTCAAGAAGGGGTCTGGTTAGCTGTTACAAACTTCTGGAATTCTTCATTCTTGCAGCTGTCACATAGGGCAGATCACGATGCTCCTGTAAACCTCCAACAAAACACATGTTATTCTCTGTTCTGTATATGAACAGATTCTTAAAGTTCAGAATCTTGAGAAGGGCTCTCCTCTTTGTTTCAGGCTGTAGGCAACATCGTGTAACAAAATGTGCAGTCACTGTGAGTAAGCACCAGCAACGGAGCACAAAGGTTAAAGCAAAAGGGGCAGATCTAACGTAAAGTCGGGCTTGTTCTTCCTTGTCCATTTGATCTCATGTGCTGCAGAGCCTCCAGAAAGCCTCAGGCCACAGTTTCCAATAGTCTCCACTGTCCACCATGCAGAAAAGCTTCAAGTACCACGGTGTCCAAAATGCCCTTTACCGCACGTAAGAGTGGTCAGCGTGACTTTTCAAACCTACAGAGAACGTAAGTGGTTTGCGTTGGGACAAGCAACTCGTGGTAAAACTAGANTTTTTTTTTTTTTTTTTGAGTCTTAATATCTTTTCATTGAAGCATAGTTGATTTACAATGCTGTGTTATTAATTGCTGCAGTGCAGCAAAGTGATTCAGTTATATATATGTATTATATACACACATACATGTATATTCTTTTTATATTCATTCCCATTATGGTTTATCACAAAATTTTAAATATAGTTCTTTGTGCTATGCAGCAGGACCTTGTTTTCTATCCATTCTACATATAAAAACTTAAATCTACTAACCTCAGCCTCCCACTCCCTCCTTCCCCAACCCCTCCCCTTGGCAACCACAAGTCTGCTATCTATGTCCATGATTCTGTTTCTGTTTCATAAGTAAGTTCATTGGTGCCATATTTTAGATTCCCCATGTAAGTGATATCATATGGTATTTGTCTTTCTCTTTCTGACTGTGCTTACTGTGATAATCTCTGCTTGCATCCATTTTGCTGAAGTGATGTTATTTCATTCTTTTTATGACTGAGTGGTGTTCCGTTGTATAGATGTTCCACATCTTTATCCATTCATCTGCTGATGGACATGTAGGTTGTTTTCATGTCTTGGCTACTGTGAATAGTTCTGCTCTGAACAAAAGAGTGTGTGGATCATTTTGAATTAAAATTTTGTCTGTGTATATGCCCAAGAGTGGGATTGCTGGATCGTATGGTAGTTCTAGTTTTAGTTTCTTAAGAAATCTCCATACTGTTCTTCACAATTGGCTGTACCAGTTTACATTCCCATCAGCTGTGCAGAAGGGTTCCCTTTTCTCCACACCCTCTCCAGCATTTATTGTTTGTAAACTTTGTGATGATGGCCATTCTGACCCTTGTGAGGTGGTACCCCCATTGTGGGTTTTATTTGTATTTCCAGACTCTTCTTGAGTGGGAATATTAATCTCCATCGCAGACTGCTTGTTCACAGCATTAAGCACTTCACCCACAATATCATACTCCATATTTTATCAATCCTAGGAAAAGGTCTGTACTATTATTATCATCTCCTGCCCAGAGGTAAGGAGACTGGAGCACCAGGAACTGAAGTTATTTGCCTCATCTCACATATCTGTGTGCTCTCTCTTAATTATTTATTCATTTCTAAATTTACAAGCTTTAGGTAAAGTTCACCTTTTAAGGTGTGCAGTTCTGTGAGTTTTGACAAGTGTATAGCATTATTTCCTGGCAAGGATTTGCATTAGCTTTTGAGGGATATAAAGAAAAATAAAGTGAAGACCCAGCTTTGAACAGTTTGTAGACCAGTGGTCCTGTATCCAGCACTATATCATGTTTTCCACCTTTGAGTCAGAAACGCTCTTAGAAATGTGGACGTGCATTAATGTTCTGGCAGATACTGGTTTTTTCCTTGATGGGGGTCGGGGGAAGGTGGAAACTGCCTTTGGGATCAGCCATAAACAATATTTCTGCAGTTTAGGGTTGTGAGCTCAGAACAGTTTTATAGACAAAAGCAAACTATGTTAGGAGGGCAAATGCCTATGCTATATAGAATATCACATTTGGGGCAAATTACTCCAGCGTGCTTGGAAATACAATGGAACAGTTTCTATATTGTGAGGTAGCAACTATTACTTTAGTAATGGGTAAGAGATTCCTTTTACTCCATTTAAAAGATGTAAAGCTAACCATTACCACAAGGAACTTTTTGTACAAGACTGAAAAATCACTTTCTCCTTTGGACTGTGGCATGTTTAGATTGTAAGGAAATGCTTTCTTTCAATAGCTGCTCATTTAGCAACAACTTCCCTGTGTAATATAGAGGTTGCAAACTGGAGAATGTATATTTAGTTTAATTCAAAATCCATTTCAATATGTTTTGAACCGCATGTGTGAAGGAAAGGCCAGTTCTCTTTTTTCTTTGATTGAAAGTTTCACTGTTACAATAGTGTTCATTTATAAATATTTCACATATATCTAAACAGCAGAAATGTGTTAAACTCATGAAAATGAAAATGTTTTTTCAATTTTATTGGTGTATAGTTGATTTACAATGTTGTGTTAGTTTCAGGTGATAGCAAAACCATTCAGTTATACAAACATACATACACACACACACACATATATATATATATTCTTTTTAAGATTCTTTCCCATATAGGTTATTACCAAATATTGAGCTCCCTGTGCTATACACAGTAGTACCTGGTAGGTCCTTGTTGGTTATCTGTTTTATGTATAGTAGTATGTATCTTAATCCCAAGCTCCTAATTTATGCCTCCCCCTGACCTTTTCCTTTTGATAACCATGAATTTGTTTTTGTAAATAAATTCATCTGGATTATTTTTTAGATTCCACACAGAAGTGCTGTCATAAGACATGTGTCTTTCTCTGTCTGCCTTGGTATAATAGCCTCTCGGTCCATCAGTGTTGCTGCCAATGGCATTGTTTCAATTTTCTGTGGCTGAGTAGTATTCCATTGTGAGTATACACCACATCTTTATCCATTCATCTGCTGGTGGACATCTAAGTTGTTTCCATGTCTTGGCCATTGTAAGTAGTGTGACAGTGAACATAGGGGTGCATAATATGTTCGAATTATGGTTTTCTAAAGATATATGCCCAGGAGTAGGATTTCTGGGTCATATGGTCGTTGTGTTTTTAGTTTATTAAGTAACCTCCATACTGTTCTCCAGTCTCATTCTTTTTTAAAAATTTTTGTTTTTATTTTCATTAGGAGGTAGATCAAAAATGATACAGCTGCAATTTATGTCAGAGAGTGTTCTGTTTATATTTTTTTCTGAGTTTTATAGTGTAAATGTATGTGAATAATATGTAAATAACCTTAAATTTAGGTCTTTGATCCATTTGCAGTTTGTTTTTGTGTATGGTTAGAGAATGTTCTAATTTCCTTCTTTTACAATAGCTGTCCAATTCTCTTAACATCACTTATTAAAGAGACTTTTTCGTCCATTATATATTCTTGCCTACTTTGTCATAAATTAATTGATCATAGGTCCATGGGTTGGTTTCTGGACTTTCTGTTCTAGTGATCTATATTTCTGTTTTGGAGCCAGTTCCATACTGTTTTGATTACTATAGCTCTGTAGTATAGTCTGAAGTCAGGGAGCCTGATAGCTCCAGCTGTGTTTTTCTTTCTCAGGACAGCTTTGGTTATTTGCAGTCTTCTGTGTTTTCATACAAACTTTAAAATGTGGAAAAGCCAGTTCTTGTGTACAGTCAGAAGAAATCAAGATTTAAATGTTCACTTAAGTTTTAGAAAGTTTTTATATGTTTGAGCTCTTTCATGATCAAAAATTGATGGAACACTTTTCCAATGAAGAGTACACCTCATTTCTTAATAGATGCTGAGAGGAAAATGAGATGCAAATCTGTGTTTAGACTCTAATTCAGTTATAGGTGTTCTGATGACCTTCCATTTACTGGCTCATGTAAGGACCATCATGATGCTTTAGTTATGGAGACAAAGTTCTGAGAAATTCATGCACAAATTCAGGAGCTGCTCCTTTTCTCACATCTTATTTTCTATCAACAGCAAAACAGGGCATTCAGGACTGCCTGGGGAATCTCTTCAGGGTAGCTTTTCCCGAATGACTGGTTGGCCGTCAGCTTGTATGCACTGGGAATGCTCTGTGTGCCTCCTGGATTGTCACTGGGCTGGTCTGCACCTACCTCGGAAGGAAGGCACCTGGAAAGCCCACTCAAGCTCTCTGAATGGCTTAGTCATGCTGGCTCTCCTCAGGACCAGAATTCTGGCCCCAACTTTGATCTGCACTGCATCTCTGTCTGGGCTTAGCAAATCTGGGGTGTCCCTGGACTATACCCAAAAAATGACTTATAAGCTATATAATAGCTTATTATAAGTTTTGTAAACATTTTTGTGTTAGGTACCAGGTATCAAGTGTGGACATTTTGTACCAACCCTTTTCGTGAGCTAAATGTTAATATCCTACTCAGAAGAACTCACCTCAGGTTCATAACCCAGATTATTTGGGAAGACAATATAAAGCAAGCTCCTTGTTAATGATGGTCCAAGAATAACTGTGGCCACCCTGCCCCCCTGTCGGTGGCTCTGGGTTAATGCTCTGCTGGAGAAAAAGGGCCAGGAAGAGCTGCTTCATTTCCTGGCTCAATCCACAATTTCTGAAAGAAGCCCAGGGAACCTAATTTCCATTCACTTTTTCCTTATAAGGGGTAGATTTTACATATCATGGTACATTTTTTCCATTTTGACCAGGGAATTAGTAAATTATGTCCAAAACGAACTCTAGCTTATCACCTTTTTATGTACAGTGTAGGAGCTACAAATGGCTTAATATTTTTAAGAAGTTGAAAAATAATGAACAGCAATTACTATTTCGTGACATTTGAAAATCATATGATATTAAATTTCATTGCCCCTAAATCAAGTTCCTAAGTAGCCATGCTCATTTGTTTACATATTGTCCAGGGCTGCTTTCATGACACAGTGGCAGAGTGGAGCGCTTGCAACAGACCTTGTATGACTTTACAAAGCCCCAAGTATTTACTGTCTGGCATTTTACGGAAAAAAAGAAAACTTCTCACCCTAGAGCTGGAACAGCTAACATTCAACATCGCAGCTGAGTAAGCACCCACTGTGAAGTTTCCTGGTGTTAACTTCCTTAACCGTGTGTTGTAATGAGTGGCTTTGGCGTGGCTATTAACTCTGTTCTGGGAAATACAGAAGAGGCCAAAGATGTGTGAAATTTAATATAAACATTAATATAAAGAAATCAAAATCTCTTCCAAGTGACTTTCATAGAAAAAAATGGAGATAATTTTCTCATTCAATATAACTAGCTCTCTTTTAGACAAGATAATCCTTAAAAAAGTATCAATTACAATAAAACTCTTAAATTTATTCTCCAGTTTTTTAGTCCACCTTTCCACTCCATCAAGTTATTATGAGTTTAGCCTCCTACTCCTCAAAGAATCTTTGGAGATTAGAGAATGAAGATTTAATTAAAATGAAGTTGAGAAAACAACTCTAAAATTGAGGCTGAAGAACATCAGTTCAGGGGAAAATTTAGCAAACACGCATCTCGCTAGATTTATTAGAAGCTGTGAATGATGCTGCTGTCTCAGAGTCATAGCAGACATGTCTGTAGTCTTCGTCCCTTGTATTTGCTGAAAAAGATCACTTCCTTTCATTACGGGCTTGTCTTCTCAGTCACTCTGGGTGTTGTACACCTCATGTCTATCAGATGAAAATGTGACTATCTCACTCCTATAGCAAATGATGGGAAAAGTTGTATAAAGATCCTGAAGTCTAGAAGCTTTTGAGACATTTACTCTTATAATCTCTGAACCAGACTTTGAAGAACTGATTTAGAGGTTTCACAGTTAGGCTCATGATTTCACGGAAATGCCATTTAAACTGGAGCAGCTTCAAGATTCAACAAGTGGGACATGTTTAGATAAGCTGTAGCACAGTGGCTTAGTGAAAAACAGAAACATGTCTCAAAATGGTATGGGGATTGTGTGAATATGCAGAAGTAAGTATGCAAAAACACCAAGATTCATAACTAAAATGATGTACACCCCTAAGGAACTGAGGGAGGGAAAACAGAGCTTCAGTCCTCAAAATGTGGTCTCTAGGCCCCTGCAGGTCAGTGAGCTGGTTGTTACCAGTCTGAGACAAGAAAAGTATGGGAATCCAGAGTAACTGTTCAGAAACTTTTGTAATAGCAGTAACTTTACTGTTGATTTTTAAAACTAATTTAGCTTGTATTTTTATCTTTTTTTTTTTTACCTTCTTACTTTTATTTTTGTGTCTTTAAAAAATTTTTTAAATTCATTTTATTGGAGTATGGTTGATTTACAATGTTAATTTCTGGTATATAGCAAAATGACTCAGTTATATATATATATATGTTATTTTTCATATTCTATTATGGTTTATCACAGGGTATTAAGTATAGTTCCCTGTGCTATACAATAGGACCTTGTTGTTTTTATGTCTTTTTTATTTCATTTTTATTTAGTAATTCACTTTTATTGTATTTCACAAATGTATGTCTGTAACGGACTGGAAAAAATGAACTTCCTTACAGAGAGTCTAAGAAACACTGTATGTTGGGAAAAAACTTGTTGCTTAACATTAAATAAGTTACACATTTTCAAGAAGAAATGTCATTTTACAGACATGACAATTTTATTTTAATAAAAGGCTGTGGTAACACCTGGTCAGTTATTTGCTATCAAATTACTGTGCTTGACCAGAAGGAGAGAGTTGTCTTTTTTTTTTTCCCTTGGGTTTAAACAACTTTTAAATACCAGATGCTGCTTTATGTGGCAGGGGTGTGACAACAGAATTCTATTTAAATGGCTAAATCACTGCTGAAACATAGTTTAAGGTAGGGGCGGGGGTGGGGGGAGGACAGAAATCCTACAGAAATGTGTCGATTAAGTTCCTGTGCAACCAAATAGAAATGTCAGGATCTTCCCCCACTTAAGATGCAGGGACAAGTGCACTGAGGCATGAGAAAAGAATTTGATTTACAATTTGAAGGAAAACCAGCAGTAAGATAATTGAGAGCTGGAAAGCAATCTTATTCCAACCAAATTGCTTTCCTCTGTGTATGCTCCATTTAGAGGCGAGATTCGAATGCTTACATTTAGTTTGTGCATATTTTCTTTTCCCTTGTGAATATTCCATCCTGTCGGATTAGGACTGTTTCTCTGCTGTGATCAGCAAAGGAGAATATTCCGAGTTGCCCAGTGCTGGATTATGACTGAAGCTCTATGAATAGGAAGTGTTGTTGTTGTTGGTTTTTTTTTTTTTTTCTTTTTTAAGTTCAAAGGTGACAAGCTGGCTGTTAATGAGAACATTCTTGGTCTCTAAATTGCTAAAATGTGGATTCTTTTTTAATTTGGGTTCATGAGAATGAGAAACATGAAAGCACCTTCAGATTTTAGAGTTGGTAAAATATTTAACAGTAACAACACCCACAACAACAGTAACAATCGGTATTACTGTTACCGATTCAGTTTGTTGCAGATTTAATGAATACCACCAGCCTTGGTGTTGCTTACAGTTTACTTTTTCCATGAAGTATTCATGAACAAAGATAGTTTTCCCCTCCTGACCTGTAGCAATTAAGCTTATATTCATGGGTACAAAGATAAGATGTGTGCTGTTACTGCCAAACCCTTACGTAGCTGGTTCTCTGACTCACAGAGATAGTCATTTCTTTATAATTTTTGAACATCTTTGACAGAATTTGTCTCAGAAGTTTGGTCCTTGGGCCATGTGTTCTGCCCATGAAAGCACATTTTTATGTCTTGCAAAGAATAAGAATTTAAAGATCAAAAATACTTTTATATTAAAACATCTGAGTGGCCCTCTTAGTTTTATCTTCTTGCTCACGTTAGAAGGTGTTTTGGGTTTGCTTACAAGAAATGCAGACCTAACATTCATTTTGATAAGCGTCTCCTGTGAGCTCCTGATAACATTAGGGGCCAGAATCAGAATTCTACTGCTCTCCAAAGGTAAGGCATAAGTTATCATTTGGGTAAGAAAAATAGAGGAAAAGTAAACAGGAGTAGACAATACAAATGAAGTTTGAGCCAAGAACACGCCTGTTTTAAATTTAAAATTGGCTATAAGCCAGAGCAGGTCATACCCTGGGTGCCTAGAGGAAGATGGAGGTAAATACAAGGGATATTTTTATTTAAATAAAAAATCTACAGAACCACAAGCTGTTAGCTCTAGAACTGATAGTCTATGCCTCTCCTGGGCAGACCTTTGTCCACATGGACCAGGTCTTCCTGGGGTTGGTGAGCACAGGCTCTGTGGTCATGCCTTCTCATACCCACCTCACACCTGCAGGTTACAGGCAAGAGCCCACTCAGTCTGGGAATTAGGAACAAATGTGCCTTTGGCGTGAGCCTGAATCAGCCCCCAGTTCTGCACTGCCCTGTGACTGAATAGGAAGGATTGTAAGAGCTGTAAATGACAGAGAGGGCTTGGAAGTTTAAATTACATGTGATTATGCATGCACATGCACACACACACACATGCACACAATGCATACAAACACATGCACACCCACAGGTACACACATACACACAAGTATGTATGTGTATACTTGTACACATGCATACACATACATGAATACACACATGCATGCCCCATGCATGCACATTCGCATCCCCAGCTGCACTAGAAGCCTACCTACCTAAGGGAACGAGGATTGATCAAGTTAAAGCAAATAATCCTAGGAGAAAAATGTGATACATACATAACGTAAATATTTTAACTTAAAACACATCTATGTACATTTCAATTTCTACATCTTTTGATAGAACTTTTTTTTCCCAAAAGCCAATGAGACTTGTCTTGAGCAGAAGTCTGATGCTCAGAGGGCATCTATGGTTCTTGTATAAACTGCACTCTTCAGGAATCATCTGTCATTTCCAACTCAGGAGTCTATATGGAGAGTGTGCTCAGCACCTGCACAGCCACCTGTGTGCAGACTTGGCCTGGACTCTCAAAGCTTTGTTGTAAAGCTTTTATAGTTCTTCCATCAGACCTAACTTGATAGCAGTAATGTTTGGCAGTACCCTCTTCCCCCTTATCTGGTCTTTCCAAAGGATTCAACTTAGTTTTTATGGAAAACACTCTTCTTCACTTTCATTTGCTTATGTATTATTTCACTAGATTTTATAGTCTAATAAGACATGGTACTTACATAAACAACTTTGGAAGAAAACGGATACTAAGAGCTGAAGGGTTTCAAATGGACATGCGTAGAGTTACCTACCAGCTTCATAATCCATTGGATTTTTATCTCTAAGCTTTGCAGAGGATGGAGGTGATACTAATTGAACTGTTTTCCTCATCCCTAAAAAGTTCAAGATAAAATTTTTGATGTAGTTCCCAAAATTTATAGAATCTGATGGTCTGTATTTTTTCACTTACATGACCTCTGGCTTCATCTTCTTTCTCTACAGTCACTTTTTGTTAAAACTCATATATTTTCTGTGTTCCTCGTACCATAAAACACATTCAGTCCTTCACTGAAATGGCAGTGTGACTGAGCTTAGTAGATCTTTGCTTTTGCTGTTTTAAGCAGGTCATGGTCCATGTGTTATAAGATTTAGATTCTAAAATGAGCACATGATGAAAAAATCCTTTAGGGAAAAGAACCGTTGGACATCCATTGATAAGATTCTAGTTTAGTCCAACATAGATATACAGAGGTCTGAAGCATTAATCTTCCCAGAAGCTTGGAACAGATCCCTAAGTTGAGAGCTGGATGAAGCAGTGTGGCCTGTCTTTAGGGAAGTACCTGACAAATCATAGGTGTGGTTGAAACCAGCGTGGTGCTGGGTGGGGTGGGGTGGTCACGCTCTGAGAAGAGTCCTGGAAACGGAGGTTCATGACCCTCACCTCAGGCATCTTACACCACGCTGCATCTGACTAGCTACATATATGTTTCTCCCTGTCTATCAGCTAACCCCACGTCCTGACAAGAGAGAACACACACTCCTTCCAGTCTCTCTCCCCATATTCACTTAGGACATGCTCAGCAGTTGTGAGTTAAAATGGAATTGAAGTAGAAAAATTTGTGCCTTTGGACGTTCATGGCCTGTTCTCCCTGTGTTCACCAGAAGTCCTTCAAATATGTAGCTCCTATTTTATTACCAACTGTACACTCTTAATAAAGGACACAATGTTTATATTTACTATTAATAAACCAATATGTTCTATGAATAAGCTAGTAAACTGGTAGTCTTCAAAAAAGAACTGCACATAGCACCTGTTTTAGTGTTTTCCTTGGTAGACTGTCAAGGCATGGCTGTTATTTTGGGTGATTTTTATCCATCTCTGACTGATCTTTATTTGAGTTCCCTGAACTGATGTATTTTTTAGTTCTGACAAATTTGGTATGTAACATTTGACACCTTTGAAAGTGTGACCCTTGTGGACACTGGTTTGTTTTTAATGCGACAGTGTTGCATCGTGATTTAAGGTTCTGAGCAAGGACTTGGGTGGGACTATCTGGTTTTAAATCTCAGCTCTCCCCCTTACTAAACATAGGACCTCAGGCTCTTTATGTAACCTCCATGCACCTCAATTTCCTTACCTAGAAAGGGCGTGTTAATAGTATCTCTCGCGTGGACTTACTGTGAAGATTAAGTGAATTCATCTATCTAAGGTGCTTGACTCACTACTTGTGTGCCGGAAGTTATCAGCCACTGGTTGTTACTAATGCCAACCTCGCTGTGTGTGTGTGGCTTCCACACCAGTGGCCACGCTGTGAGCCGCCAGCGCCTGGGTGCGACGCAGTCGTGACACTTGGTGTTCTGGTCTCTCACGTCTTCCTCCTCTCCCGTGCAGGTGGCCCCGGCCATCAAGGAGCGGATGATGAAGAAGGGGAGCCTCATGCTGGGCTACCAGCCCCACCGGGGGAGGGCCAACTTCTTCCGGCAGGTGGTGATCAGCCCTCAAGTCAGCCGGGAGGACATGGACTTCCTGCTGGATGAGATAGACCTCCTGGGGAGGGGCATGTAGCTGTGGCTTTGGGTCCCCCAGAGGCACGGGTCCTGCCCCAAGGGTAAGGGTCCAGGGCATCCGGGGACACACGGACTGCAGCCCTTCTGGGGAGGGTAGGACACATGCCCCATCCCTGTCCAGCAAAACCGAAATGCTAAGCAAGTAGTGTTAAGGACCCTCTAGTTGCCAGGGGGCTACTGCTGCAATATAGGAGGTAGCGAGAGGTGGGCCTCCTCTCGGACAACCCCTGGGACAGAGCCCCGGAGAGTTTAGTACCACGTGGGCTCTGGGCACATTGCTTCTGAAAGAGCACCTGGATTAGCAGGTGGACGAGTGGTTTACAAGGTCTGACCCAGAGACCAGCAGCCCTGGAATCCTGTTAGAAACGCCTGGCCTCAGCCTTGCCCCAGACCCACTGAATCAGAAACCCTGGGGGTGGGGGAGCTGAGTGCTCTGAACTTCACAGAGACTTCCAGGTGCTTCTTAGGCAAGGTAAAATCTGAGAGCCAGCAGTTCAACGCAGCTTTGAATTAACTGAGTACTACTCACTCTGATGTGTTTGCCCGTAAAGGGATATCTGATACTTCAGTGGCTCTGAAAATGCAGCTGTGGCCTCTTAACACTAATGTTTAGGGGCATCAGAAGTATAGCGGAGCTGTGTTTAAAAGAGAAACTGTAATATATATAAGATGTTTACTTTATGGAAAGGTATCTCTTATGCAGGCTAAATGTTTACTCTCCAAAGTTAAAATTAACCACTATCTATTATAAAGTATCTGAATTAGAGCTAAGGATAAAAGACAGACTTTGTAGGTAGCCTTTTAATCAAAGCAATGTCCCTAATTCATTTCCCAAAATAATTCGTGTCATTAATTGGTAGTACATGTTAGGTACCTATACATGTCTCTAATTAGATGCCTCTTAGCTTGAGGGGCCCCTTATCTTGCTCTCTGCTTGTAGGAAATAACGAGAATGAAGTCCAGGGTTATACGACATTCCCTTTCGCAAGCTTTAAAATGGCAGTGTACACTTATTAAAGGGTTTGTATTGGGCAGAGAATCAGGGAATTAGAGGTCTTTTGGGGCAAACACCTCCGCCATTTATCCTGGGAGTGGATAATAGTAATTCTGTCTCTAATCCTGGTCCTAGATCTCTAGCAGAATTTCCTTTGACTAAGAAATAAACAGAATTCAGAGGTGTGGGAGTAGAGGTCAACAAGGTGCAATTATGACTGTAATTAAAGCTCCCCTCTGGAAAGCAAGGGACTGAGAGTGTTCAGGTATTAGATGGGAGCTGAGGCCAACAGGGTAGTTAGGCCTCTGGTTGGAGCTCCGCCTTGGAAGGCATGTGACCGAGTGTGCAGACGTTAGACTGAGCGTTTTCAGTACCCATCTCGTACGCTTTCGCTAACCTGCGCCATTTATATTTTGAAGAGTTAAAAAGCAGATATGTACTATTTGCTTGTATTCTCTATTTTTATTTCAGAGTGTGTGGTTTCTCAGTATCTCCATCGGTCAAAGAATATTTTAAACTTTCTCCGAACTACTTTAATCTGTAGTATGTGTATTGCATCTCTTGTTGCCTTTTTGTTTAAACATCTCCCTAAAATGTTCTGAAACTGATGTTTGCAATAATTTGGGTTTAATGAAATAAAAAAGCAATGTGAGCATACAGTGTGTTTGGCTTTTCTTTTCCTATCCTTCCCTCTTCACTGGATTGTACCAATATATGTTATTTATTTATTTTGTAAGCAATACATAATCATTTTAATTTTTTAGGTGTTAAAATCTTTAAAAAAAAATTTTTATATTGGAGTATAGTTGATTTACAGTGTTGTTTGTGGTAGGTTGATTGATTCAAGAGCTTGATTCCGTTTAATATATATATAAATAATCTTTTTTGGATTCTTTTCCCATATAGGTTATTAAAGTGTTGAGCACAGTTGATTATCTGTGTTTATATATATGTGTGTGTATGTATGTATATTAGTGTGTGTATGTCAGTCCCAAACTCCTCATTTCTGCTTCCCCCATCTTTCCCCTTTGGTAACCTTAAGTTCGTTTTCTATGTAAGTCTCTGAGTCTGTTTCTCTTTCGTAAATTAGTTTATTTGGTGCCAATACATTTTATAACACTCTGTTGGTGTTTTACTTAAATAATTGAGAACAGGTTGGAAGTGGTCTGTTGTTTAGTTAACACCTTACATGAAGTAGAGAAACCAGTTACAACCAGTACAGGCTTGCCTCTCGTTCAGTCTGTCTTCATCTGGGCAGGCCACGGGAGACCCCACAGCCCCAGTTCAGCTCCTGTCAGGCCTTCTTTTGTGAGGAGACAGTTTCTTGGTCAATGGGGAAGAATGATGCTACCAAGTACTTCAAGCATCCCACTTCTTTCTCCTTAAAATATACAGACATACCACCCCCCAATCAGATATTTGACTGAATGATCAAGAAACATTTTTTGATGAAAGTGAAAGTGAATGTCGCCCGGTCGTGTCCGACTCTTTGTGACCACATGGTCTATACAGTCCTTGGAATTCTCTAGATCAGAATACCAGAGTGGGAAGCCATCCTCTTCTGCGGCAGATCTTCCTGACCCAGGAATCGAACCAGGGTCTCCTGCATTGCAGGTGGATGTTTTTACCAGCTGAGCTACCAGGGAAGCCCTTTTGATAAAAGGTCAATTGTAACTCATTTGACCTTTAAGCAAAGGGGTGGGCCTGCTGCTCCAGGCCATTATCTAGGTTCGGGGGGATGCACAGTGAGGGAAGCAGACAAAAGGCCCTGCTCATGTGAAGAGCAGTCAGTCAGCAAGGCTGGCTGTTGTTCCTGATCAGTCACTAAGTTGTGTCCGAGTCTTTGTGACCCCATGGACTGTAGCATGTCAGGCTTCCCTGTCCTTCACTGTCTCCTGGAGCCTGCTCAAACTCATGTCCATTGAGTCGGTGATGCCACGCAACCACTTCATCCTCTGTCGTCCCCTTCTCCTCCTGCCCTCAATCTTTTCCAGCATCAGGGTCTTTTCCAGTGAGTCAGCTCTTCACATCAGGTGGCCAAAGTATTGAAGTTTCAGCTTCAGCATCAGTCCTTCCAATGAATATTCAGGGTTGATTTCCTTTAGAATGGACTGGTTTGATCTCCTTGCAGTCCAGGGGACTCAAGAGTCTTCTCTAGCACCACGGTTTGAAAGCATCAACTCTTTGGTACTCAGCCTTCTCTATGGTCCAGCTCTCACATCCATACACAACTACTGGAAAAACCATAGCTCTGACTATACGGATCTTTGTCAGCAAAGTGATGTCTCTGCTTTTTGATACAAGGCAGGTGGCAATGTATATTTTTAAGAAAAAGTGAAGGGGTGGAGCGTGGTGTCACTGAGGATGGACTTGGCTGCTGGAGAGAAGTCAGTTAGGCAGAGCCTCTTTGATGAGGGAGCCTCTGCACAGAGGTCAGGGAAGTGGGGAGAGCCCTGTGGCTATCTGGGGACAGGGTATTACAGGTGGAGGGCTTGGTCAGCTGAAGGCTGGGGAGCCATACTTGTGGTCCATCCAAGGACCAGTGTGAAGGCAGTGTGGCTGGATTGGCAGGAACAATGGGGTGAGTGGTAGTCAGGATGGGGCAAAGGAGTCAGGGACGCCTCTGGGGGTCAGGACATTGGGCTGTGTAGGCGGGACTCAGACAGGTACGCATTGGAGCACCTGAGCAGGGTATTGACGTGATTCAGCTTATATTTTCAGGGGATCACTCTGACCACTCTTTGAAGAACAGGGTGTGTGTGGGCAAGGGTGGACTCGGAGTTCAAATAGGGGGCAGTTGCAATAGTGCAAGCAAGGAATCATGGTCATTTACGCTAGAGGAGTAGTGAGGGAAGTGGTGGAAAGTGCTCTAATCCTGAAGGTGTTGAAAGGTGGAGTCCATAGGTGTGGCTAGTGGAGTTGAGTATTTTAAAAAGAGGGGAGAAATCAAGAATAGTTTTACTTATCTTTGGCCTGCACAACTTTAAGAAAGGACTTGCCAGATCCTGGGATGAGGGCTGTAGGAAGAGAAGCTCTGCCTGGTTTTAAGTCACATACAATATGAGCTGTCTGTACGTCAGCCAACCAGATACATACAAGAAATTACTTACAAGTCACAACTTCCGGGGGCCATCAGGCTGAACCAGGGAAGCACTGGACACCAAGACCCTTAAAATAAATGCCTGTGGGGTGGGGGGAGCATGAGGGGTGCCATAGCCGAAAGGAGGAAAATGATACAGGTTTTCTGTTTCTTTATTAGTCCTGCAGGTGTGGTGTTTCTCATGGCAAGTTCCACAAGTATGAGCCTCCTCTAATGCAGAAAACCAAGGATGGTGACAATTACTAACATTTACTGAGTCCATTAGTACGTCTTATTCACATCTCCCAAAACTCCATCAAGGTGGGAGTCTTATCCTCATTTTTCATTCGAGGAAACTGGCATTCAAACTGTGAGAAATTTCTCCAAGATTATCAGACTACTGAGTGGTAGACCGTGGGGTCAAGCCTAAGTCCACCTCTCCCCAGAGCCCAGGCTGTAAACATCCTCACTTTGCTGCTGAGAATGTATGGACAGAAGAGGACCACCCTGGACTAGTCTTGTCACGTGGCTCTGCCTGGCGTCCCACANTTTATAAATGACACCTTATATCTCTGTCTTTCCCCACTGTCTAGCCTATTAGCAGACCTTGTTGGATTCACCTGCAAAACATGTCTCCAGCCCATCCACTTATCCCAGCCGCATTGTCATGGCCAAATCCCAAACTCTTCTCACTTCTCCTCCGGACTATAGTTGTAGCCTGCTTACTGCCTCTACACATTGATTCTGGACTGCGTCCCATCTGCTCACCATACTACAACCAGATTAAAACACAGACTGATCCTGTCTCTCGCTTTGTTTGCTATTAGGGTTGACAACAACAGACTCTGCAGAAGACCCTTAGGAAAGCTATTGGTCAAGGAATGCTAATTAAAAATTTATTAGCCTGACTGGGTAGGGGCCAACACTGCCCTGAACGAGCCTCAGTGGGGTCTCGGAATCAGGGGCTGGAGATGCCTGTTTACAGGCTTCAGGTGTGTGCACTCAGGTAGCTTAAGGTGGGTCTGTCAAAGCAAACTGGTTGGGACATAATCCATCATGTAACAGTGTGGGGTTGGTGGGCACAGCGAGGGGAGCATCTTGGCACAGGTCTCAATACATAAACTGTTGTGTGTGATAAGCAGGCTGAGCCCTCTTATCCTGGTGGAAGAGATGAGTCAGGTGTTTGTTTGGATAAGTGGGTTGACAGGCATTTTCTGAAGCAAACAGTAAAGTGGCTCACTGATTTACATGAACCTTCTGAGCGAAAGTCTCCTGGGACAAAACTAAATCATGTTGATGTAGGTGACTGCAGTCCTGATAGTTAAGCTATACGAAGGCAAATGGTTTTAATTCCCAGGATAAAGATCAAATTCTGGAAGTGGCTGCCAAGGCGCTTTGTCCGACCAGTCCCATAGAGGTTGTGTTGCACTGTCTCTGCCCTGGTGGGAGCCAGAAGTTGGGCTGTTTTCAGATCCCACCGCTCCTCTTTACACCAGCTGTTGAAAGTCTTGGGATGTGGTCCTGCCTCTTCCTGCAGTGCTGCCCCCCGCCAAGCCCCCAGCGAAATTTCTACCTGCAGTTCAGGTCTCAGCTTGATTCTTTGTTTCTTAGGGATGTTCTCTGCCTTCCTTCCACCCACCCAAAAGGGGGTCTGCCCCAATATAAGCTCTCTATAACTTTTCTCAAAATACATGTATCACTATTTGTAAGTATCTATCTCTATGCATTAAAAAAATTGAACTGTAATATCTGGGGCTTATGTTAATAAATAATCATGGCAGGAGGGTTGGCAGGTAGGTACGCTAGTTTGCCTTTGGATATAACTTCTTTATTTAGGGAACTCCTGGATACATACATGTAAAATAACTAATTCATGTCTTTGAGAAAGCCCTTAAATCACCTTCTTAAAGCACATGCTATAAACTGAAATGTCACTTGTTGTGGTTAGTATATGTGCTCCTGCAGGAAAGAGAATGGTTTCCCCCTGAAAATTAATGTAGGCTGGCTTATCTGAGAAAACTGTTCTATGTTCCTATTTTCCGTTATGGTGTATCACAGGAGATTGAAATGTAGTTCCCTGTGCCCTACAGTGGGACCTTGTTGTTTATCCGTCCTGTATAAAAGCTTCCGTCTGCTAACCCCAGCCTCCCACTCCAGCCCTCCCCGTGGCAACCACAAGTGTTCTCTACATCCGTGAGTCTGTTTCTGTTTCGTAGATGGGCTCATTGGTGTCATATTTTAGGTTCCATGTGTAAGTGATATCAGATGTTATTTGTCTTTCTCCTTCTGACTTACTTTACTTAGTATGATCATTTCTAGGTCCATCTGTGTTGCTGCAAATGGCATTATTTTGTTCTTTTTTATGGCTGAGTAATATTCCATTGCATATATGTACCATATCCTCTGTAGCCTTTCAGTTGTTGAATGGACATTTAGGTTGCTTTCATGTCTCAGCTGTTGAAAATAGTGCTGCTGTGAACGTGTATCTTTTTGAATTATAGTTTTATCTGCATATATGCCCAGGAGTGGGATTGTTGGATCATATGGCAACTCTGTTTTTAGTTTTTTGGGGGAACCT